TGTATAAAAATATAAATCCCGAGATATCAGCAGGGATTTCTAAACATAGACATCAGTAAGGTCAGTCCACATGACTTCTACTCTTACATATAAATATGAAGTTTTTCAAATAAGGTATTGACCCCAGGAGTAATTTTAGTAACTTCTTTTGTTCATCCACTTTTTGTTCCAAATAACCTTTAAGTCACAGATGTCTAAGACAGAAGTTACTACAGGTTAATACATGAATTGTAGAGAGCGATTTTTGAAGATATCAAAATGCCTCCATTTTCTTCTGAAATATTTCCCAAAGATGAGAAATCTACATGAAGATTCTGAGGTACAGTAAGTTTTGACATTTCAAGAATGATGCTTCCCTAAAAGGGAACTCTTACATACTGTTGATAGGAACACAAACTCCTGTAGGCATTAGGGAAAACGGTATGGAGGATCCTCAAAAAACTAAAAACTAAAATGTTTATCATATGATGCAGCAATCTCACTACCATATGTCAAGGAAAGTAAGTCAGTATGGTAAAGACTTTGCTGCATCCTATGTTTAATGAGACACTTTTCACACTCCTAAAAATACTGATCAATCTATACGTCCATCAACAGACGAATGAATAAAGGAAAATGGCTTATTTCCACATAATGGAATGTTATTTAATTGTTAATAAGGTTGAAATCTTGTCATTTGTGGCAACATGAATGAGTTTGAAGGGCATTACCTTAGTGAAATTAGCAAGTAATTGGATAAACACTATGTGTTTCTTTTATGTATAGAAACTGTGAAAGTTGATCCTTTTTGGCAGAGAAGACAAGAGAAGTTTCTAGGCCCTGAGAAGGGTTTTGCAAATGGGACAATTTGTTAGTGGGTCAGGGTTACAGTTAAGATGGGGCTAAATTTGCAGTTGTATAATTGTATATTTCAATATAGATAGAAGACAGAATTTTGGATATTCTCACCACTAAGAAATGACAGATATCAAAGAAGAGAAGTGTGTTCATTACTATGATCTCATCACAAATGCTGCAAATATCCATCAAAAGATCACAGTGCTCCCCACAGAAGGATGTGTCATTTTCTTGGGTATATTTATTCAGCCTAGCTTTCCCTTGTGTGAGCAGCCTAGCTTTCCCTTATTGTGAGCAGGGGCTCACAATTTCCAAACTGTCAAAATGTGAATATGATTTCAAAATACTGTGTAATTCATGTATGGCAGATGAGCACATCACCCTCCAAGATTATGACTCCAAGCGGCCCTATCTTCACAAATTTCTTCATGTCCAAACTCATGGAAATATTAGAATCACCTCAGTCCTCAAGTCCACAGGTCATAATTATAGGCTGAGGAACTTATCTCTGAACTTAATTTGCACACAATAGAGTTTGAGATGTTTAGTAACCAAATGCCTGTAATTTATGTTGCAAGTGACTCTGTAAAGTGCTGTTTTCAATGTAGAACCCAGACTGGATCTGAGAGCCACCTAACAGAGGCAAGAAATCTGCCATCTTCCCTGAAGCTCTTGTCAAATTCTTTCATGTACTCAGGTAGACCAACTTCATTTTCTAGCTTTTGCCCTTGAAGAGCATCTTCCATTAGAATCTCATGAGCCAGTCCTGCTCCCCAGTAAGTTAACTTTGATTCTGAGTTTAATTCTTCAGCCATGGTTTGTTTCAACAGCAGTAGAGAGAGAACTAGAGTTCTCTGAATTTAGCATAAAAATGCACATATCCCTGTTACTTTGGCTTTCAAGTTCTGAAATTTCCTTTGATATCTTGAAAATGATCATCACATTGATTGCTTATCTTTCTCTTCTTTAGTCAGTGCCTTAGTTATGAATACAGCAATGCATGAGAAGGGCATTCCTTCCCCTCCAGCCTCACACTCTAGTTGCTCTCTACTTTTCTCCTCCAATACCCTAAACCCATGTCATTCCTATTTTTCTTAATGTGTCTCCTTTTCTTCAATAAATTACTATTAAAAAAAACGTAGCATACATGAAATAAACCTTTTAGAGTGTAGAGAAGACAGAAAACATGCTGGAAGAGAAGAGGTAGTTTTTGATGGGGTAAGATATTGTTCTTAATCATTAAACAAGCAGAGCCCTAGTGGCCACCTGAATGACATGATTTTCTGTTCTAGTTGGATTTTCATCTCTGTGTCACCTTCCAATTCTAATGGATCTTCAGAAATAATTTCTCAAAGCTTTTTAAGGAGTTACTGAAAGAAAGTATTGCTGACAAGTTGAAAAGAAGAGGAAAATCTTAATAAATATTTCTGGACAAATAGCCAAAATTAATAAGTTGATGTTAGCAACTAAAAATCCAAGAGAATATTTTTTTAAAGTATCATTAAAAATATGTGCTTGACTGGACTTTAGAGATGGCTCAGGGGTTAAGAACACTTACTATTCTTGAAGAAGACCTGGGTTTGGATCCCAACACCCACATGGCAGCTAACAACTGTCCGTAACTCCAGTTCCAGGGGATCTGACAGCCTCTTCTGTCTTCCTAGGGCATTGCATGACACAGGTGCACTTACCTACATGCAGGCAATACATGCATACACATAAAATAAAAATAATAAATTTTAAAAATATTTGCTTGGTATATTTGTGTTGAGCCTGGCTCTGCCATAATGAGTCCACAGAAAATTAGTTTTCTGTACCCAAACCAGGATGAACTCAAAACAGCAGAAAATAAGAATTTGAAGATAATGATGCTAATCCTTGAGTAGCTATTCTATGAAGATGGAATAAGAGACTAACGAGAGTCAAGATACAAATGCAGCCACAAAAATGGTATTCATTGTATATGGTGTTTGGGAAGTGAGGCACTCTTTATTGTGTTCCAATTCTCTTAAGGTCAAAGAATAAAAGTTTGGTCGGATGACTAATACATTCTCACACTTCTGACTAGAAGTTATAACACACAGAGCCAAAGACATTCCCCTACCTTCTGCAACTGGAAGCAAGACACATTTTAAGTGTAACCTTTCCTTTTTAGTAGGTCATATGGGGATATTCTAGCCAAATTACCGCATAGTTCTGGAGCAAGCCCAAATGCAGGTATTGACGAAGCCGTCTACAGTTCCTTCCTTAGAGAGCTTCACTATAACCTCAGCCAAGTTGCTATTAAGAAACAGTACAACATCCAAGTGTTCGCTGCAAACCGGCCTATACGTATGAAAACAGAGCTGTGCTCCTGACTGGAAACTGTGTTAGCAAGCAGAACAAGCAAGACATTCCAGAACACCTATTGTGATAAATGATACATGGCTAAGTTACATTTAAGCAGTCACCAGGCCCAAAGGAACCAGCAGAGAACAACTGCAAGCAGTGTGGGGGTTTCTGCTCCTAAGTCTGTTGACAACATGATACGATATGTCTCTTTCTCATTATGACAGGGAGAAATAAGGTGCCTGAAAACATAAAACATGTTGTTTCTCAGAATGAGAGATGACATTCACATATATTATATTTCAGACTGGCAGCTTTATTTGTAGAGGGTCACAGGATCTTTGATTTTAAGAATGGTGAGTATGTGAATAGAGGAAAAGGGAAGCACACTGCAGCCTCACCTCGGAATGTTTGAACAGACAAGACTGACTAAAGGCTAATTTGAGATTCAGTTAGCACATCTAGAGAAAAAAAATGCAAACAAATACATTTCTAAAAAGGATGCCAAAAGAATGCTGTTAGCACATTGTAAATTTCCAATTCTTTCTTACTACCCTTATCCAACCACCCAAACAAATCGGTTTAAGCACAACTTCTTTTACTAATGCCTTTTGAAGCATCACTGCAGTCAAGTAACCATCTGCTGTAAACACAAACAGAGCTGCATTCAAGAATTATATTACACAGCCTTCCTAGGAAAGTTCTTACGTGCAAGCTGTTCTTGTCAAAATCAGAACCATTGTGATGATGCATCTTAATATTCAATCAGACTTTAAGTAAAGAGTGACAAAAGTCCACATATGGATGACAGCTGTTTCTTCAGTAAATATTTTCACGTTTATTGAATGAAGGCTTATGGCAGTTTAGGATAAGTTCCATCAGACATTTCAGCCTAACTGCCTGAGGACTACCAAAATGATAACAAGAACAAAACTTCAATTTTCAATCTCTGCTACAAGTTACATCTTCAAAAATAATAGCCCCTTTAACTAAAATGCTACACTATGCCACTAATTCCATAGTTTCCTTAGGGAGCACTTGCTGGTGAAAAGTGGACTTAGAAACGCTGTTCCTCTTTGTTCTTCACCTTCTAATCATATTGCCATATTATCATTTCTATATTGATTTTCCAGCATATAAACAAAGTTGATAGGAAAATTTTGTGACCATCTTTTTAAAATAGTAAAATATATTTAAAAGATTAATGACCCTATTACTTAAAAGAAGATCTTGTAATGACTGTGTTAAACCAAAAAATGAATTCAAATTAGAAAGTTAAAAATGAAGATGGATTCTCCTGAGTAATTCATTAAATTCATAATACTGTTATTCTAAAACATCAATATTTATTGGACAAAGAGTCTGAACTCACCAAGATATCCTTAATAATGGAGTAACCTTGAATATACATTGTATCCTGAGTATTAATCCTAAATTTTATGTTGGACATGAGTAGATTGTTTATCTTTCAAGAAGCATCTGTGAAATTTGCTAATTACAAGGTACCCTGCTCAGCACTAAAAGTCCTTTTATCATTAACCCGAGGTTGTCCTAAGGTTCTCTTGAGGACCACAAGCAAAGCTCTGGTGAGGGGAAGGTTGCTGGTGTCTTATGTTAGGCCTGCAATATCACTCTGCTGAAGGGCCGGCATTACTCGGCTTCCAAATGTTGACTTATAGCCTTGTTCTCTTTCTGTAATGCAGGTGTTAAAGTCAACACTTTTCTTTTAATACATCGCATCGCTGTCTTATTTCCCACAAAGCCTCATGTTAGAGTTTGATCCTTTTTTAATAGGAACTCATGCAGCCCAGGCCTGCTGAGGATGATGTTCTTACCCTGCAATGGGATCTGCTGCTATTGCCTTGGGATTGTGAAGCTCCAGCTCAATCAGGGTGACACATATTGACCCATTGTAATTACAAACAAAGATCCGGTCACTGACATGGTCCACGAAGTAGAGATTTCTGGTGAGCCAGTCAATCGCCATCTGCTCTACATCTGAAAAACACATACACAGAATGGGTGAGTCACAGGCACAAATCTAACATGACAACCAGAGTACATATGTCTGCTCAAACTGCCACAGAGGCAGTGCAAAGTATGACATTTTTTACCAAAAAATTGCAAAGAGAATTTGCAATGTTGAATTATGTGGCGTTATGATGTGAAATAACATTGACTTCATGACTGTCTCTTTGCTGTATGAAGACTGAGGAAGACTTAGAAAATAGAAAAAAGAGTTTCTGTCTGAAACTTTAGGTATCTGCAATATAAACAATATCTTTTTACATTTGCCAAAAATTTCTCATTTAATTCAGGGAACATAATAGGTTCAATGGGACAGCCAAAGTCTGTAGTAGGAAGAGATGCATGTTTTGTGAACCAAGGCAGATGTTTGCTCTCAGTCATCTGTTCAAAAAGAAGAAGAAAGCGCCCGTGGAAGAAGTTAAAAGTAAGGGAATAGAATGCAAATGGTATAAAAATGGAAAGAGCAAGAATGGAACAGGAAGGGTTAAATGAGGTGGACGATCAGAGGCAAAGCAGACAAGGAAGGATTGGAAAAGAAAACAAACGCTAAGACCATGACAGCCCCATATAGAACCTTCCTACTGCGGAATTTTCCTAAAATATATTCATGGGAATGTATACATGGAGTTTAAATGGAGATACCCTGTAACAGGAACAGTGACTCTCCTGGACAACACAGGCTACCAAAGGAACAGCTCAGTATCACTGAAAGAGGTGGCACATGTCTTTATTCCCAGCCCTTGAGAGACAGAAGCCGGTAAATCTCTATGAAATCTAGGCCAGACCTGTCTTTATAGTGAGTTCCAGGCCAGCTGGTACGACACGGAAACCCTGTCTTAAAAAACAGAATAAACAAAAAACCCAGTACAAAGTATGGGTTACTTCATTTCAAGGTTTTGGTCACTGAGATCCCTAGACCGCCCCCAACATTACAAGTTATACTATTGTTCTTGGTTACCTAAGGACATGGAGAAATCAAGCTGGTACTGAAGCTTCATCAATACTGGCTGGATTTCAAGTGCTGGAATGTTCTATGAATGCTACTGGGAAAGAAAAGTAATCAATAATTTTACCTATTTATGACTCTATGAGTTACAGTAACTACCATCCTGGCAAGATATGCCCACTGCCCATTGGTGCATGGGAGTAACCCATGGTTTCCTAGGTCATAGATTCTGGAGGAGAACTAATACTATTATTCTGCTAAATAGATATAGTAATAAGGTACCCATAAGTCCTTATTTTTATGCACATAGATTAGTACATCTCTCAGCCCTCATCACAGAAGCCTCCTTTTGCAGTAAATGGTGATTATACAGACACCTACAAGAGATCAATATGCAGAGAATAAGAGACTATGAACAGGACAGCTAAATCTCAGCCCCTGCCCCAAGACTCAAGGATCATCAAAGATAAAGGGTAGAAAGGTTGTAAAAGCCAGGGGTAGTGAACATTTGCAGTGAAATAGCATTTGCTGGGCATGGCAAGGCCTTTGCATACGTGAACTCATAGTAGCTGTGACTACATGCATAAAACCTACATAAAACCAAGCCAGTCAAAACCCAGCATAGATGCAGGAGGGACTGTTGAAGTCCCACCCCTAACTAAGAAACTATTTGCAATTGATGGCTGCAGGGGGAGGGCGAGCCAGTTTTCTTCAGGGATGTGGTTCTGAGAGGCTATCCATGCTCCATTAGATGGTCTCAGAGCCATGCACATACAGACAGCACTGTGTGGACTCAGAAGGTTTAAAAGAAGGGCACATGGAATTGGGAAGGAAAAGTGGTAGGAAACACGGGAGGAGCAGGAGGGGAAGAATGGCAGACGGGTTTGATCAAAACACTCATGGCTCTTACGGACTTCTCATACAATAAAAATAAAAATAAGTAAAAAACAAGAGCTAGTCAAAACTAACAAAGAAAGTTTGTGGCATACTTGCCTAAAGAAAGGACCCCAAATTGAGACACAAAGCAATGGAGGGGTACAAGTTCCTCCTGTGCCATGCTTGGGCACTGAACTAAAAGGCTCAATCAAGGATTTTTTTGGATGCTGTGGAAGAGTGCTGTCCAGCATGCTGCTCTACTCTGACGATGGAACTATTCCATTTCTGTGCTATCCAGAGAAGCAGCCACCATCCAAATGAATAGGTAGCTGCTATGACTGGGAAACTGAATCTTAAACATATTACTTCTTAACTAATTCCATTTCAAATAACATAGATTGCTAATGCGTACAAAGAAATAAATAAAATGGATCTATGCTTGATCTGAACATTTTCTATTTTTCTTGATCTGTAACTGTTATATTGTATATTAATTTGTAGATCTAGAAAGAATAACCTCAATAATATATTATGGCTCATAAGATAGCAAACATTCTGTATCTAACACAATTCTCTTGCAAATGTTATTTTTAATACTGTGAAATATAAATTACATTTTAAAAACAAAGTTTATAGTTTATAGAGAGCCTGCCTAGCATGCAGAAGGCTCTCGGTTCAGTCCCTAGCATCACATAAACCAGACATGATGATGCTCCTGTAATCCCAACACTGGGGAGACAGAAGAAGGAGGATCAGAAGTTTTGAATCTACAGAGCCCTAGCTTCCACCAACTCAAAATCTAAGAATGTCATTGGTTGGTACCAAAAGCCTATAGCAGAGATTTCCCCACTTTCCTGTAACCCAACTACCTGTTGATTCTACCAATGAATTTGAAAAGTGCCTTGATTTAGAGCTTCCTTTTATCTGTTACTGTACAATGTCATGGAACAAGTAACACAGTCAAACCTTAATTTAGGGTGATCCAAATCCATGTTCCTGGGATATGGCCACTCATATTTGGCTCCAGAATAAGCTTTATCTTTGCATTTGAAGAAAGAGCTGTAGCGGTATGGTTGTGTGTTTGCTTTTATGTTGACACCTTCCCCAGTAACAGCTTCCTTTTGTCATTTGAGCCTAAACACTCTTCCTACTCTATATAGCAGAATCCTTCTGCAGCAACACATTATCCTTCATCATAGCCCATTGTCAGAAAAGGGAGAGAAAGCAGCGATTTTGTGAGAATTTCTGTCATGTCTTACAAGGATAAGCAGAAAATAGATATTGCAATTCATTGGACACAGATTTTTAAGACATCAATAACAGTTCCATTCTCACATTGTATAGTTTTATGGAACCATAAACATTTAAATATTTTCCAAAATGCTAGAAATCTCATTTTTCCTCAAACAGCTCTACCCCAATGATGTTTAAAATCTAAATGTCTTTTTTGTCTTGAGATATTTGGAATGATATGCTTTGCTTGGATTTTGAGTCTTTTTGCCTTGTTCTGTGAGTCATAGCTCAGTGCCCACTATTTCAAATGCAAATTCAAACACCCTGAGTTGAGATCAAGTATATGCTGGAGTTCACTCAGTGGCTCTTCCCTCCCTCAGGCTGAGCACCCTGCAGCTTCTGTGAATGCAACTGTATTTTCAGATAAAAGATCTGTGTGGCAGAGCTCCACCTTCCTCAGTGCTTTACCTTTCCCCAAGGACTCCATCCTCATCTGAAAAAGTGGGTACACTGAACACCTATCCAAGCTCGAGCAAAAAGGGTTCAATAAAAGTGCCCAATTAGCCAAATGCTTAATTAATTGATGGAAATCGGTCTGGTTTCTTTTTCTCTAGTTGAAGTTTCCCTCTGCTTCAATGCAATTTTTATTAAAGTTGGAGAGTACAGGCAACTAATTGTAATCTTCAAGAAAGCAAACTAAAGAATAAACATAATAGGTAATGCTAGAGATCAGAAAATGATAATCAGACTATGATGTGCTTTAAAGGAGACTTGAAGACTTCAGAAAGAAAGTCTCTTCCGCTAGCCTCCAAGTATGCCCCTTTTCTCTGTCTTTCACAAAAATGAATCATTGAAGTTAGAATCTGTCTTAAATGAGTCATAGAAGGCAGATCATAGGATGGAGAAATCTTTCTCTCCAAAGCAAGTTATAAAACCTAAAAATATGACTGAAATATTCCCCAGGTATCTGTGGAGACAAACTACAAAGAAACCCTCTGACATAGCTTGTCTGATGCTAGGTCATACGACCTTCATTCTAGAGTGAATCTGTCTCCATGTAGGAGGAAGGATGCTACATCAAGAAGCAAGGAGAATCTGGAGAAATGGGCGTCTCTGCATGCCCCAGCAGTCTATGACCTGATAGCATGACTTCTGGTCCAATTCTACCTCGTGATCAAGAGTGACACAATAAGACCAGCAATCTCCGAGTTCTCCATCCTTGTGTCTGTTTTAGTTTTGTTTATTTCCTTGATTTATTTATTTATTATTTACTTTTTAAATAGATCTTCACTGTGTTAACTAGCCAAACCTGGAACTCAAAAACCTTCTGCCTCAGTGTCCTGAGTGCTAAGAGTAGAGGCATGTATCACTACATCCAATTTGTGACTTAATTTCTGAAGATTACCATGTCATAGAGAAATTGACTAAATACACTCATTTTGAAATGAAAATGAAAATCAATGCTATATTGATGTCACAGTAGCAAAAAAATATGAATTAAAAAACCCTTCTAAATGGTCAAGAGTATAAGAAACTCTGACCTAGTTGAAGATCCAACTTTCCAGTTTTGCCAGATCACCTGATCATAGGACTGCCCTCCAGGAAGGGGGGTTCACCTTAAGTCATGCTAAGAGATGGCAGAATATCTAGTTCATTAATGAGATGGTGAATTTTTCCTACCTGGAATTCCAGTCTCTTACCACAGTTCTAATGGACCCCATTATAGACAGGAGGCCTCCTTAAGTCTTGACTTCTTCAGAACATAATCTCTCCTTTTCTTCTTTATGTCTCTTTTCTTACCATGCTTTCCCTAATGCTTTGGGTTGCCCCAACCCTAACAGTTTTGGGTGCTCCAACATTTTGTGTTTCTTTACCTTTTTCTCTAAAGCTCCCTTCTCCTCCCCATTCTACAGCT